TTCTTGCAGTTGCGGCCAACGCCATCACATTTCAGCTCTATGTGTATGAGAGCATCAACCGCGTTCTTCAGCAGGAGAAACAAGTAACTTACCCGTTGCGCTACTTCGCTCATCATCTGCCCAAATTGCCTCCGCTCCCTCTCAAGCTGCTCCTTCATACTCTGGTGGCTGAGTCTGTAGCACTGAATTCTCTTTTCCGCCTCCTAAGGACCCCAGAAACCAGATATTGCACATACGGAAAGCATAGATATGGGCAAAAGGAGATGAGGATCATCTACACCGCTATAGTATACAAGATCGAGATATCTACACAATACTTTTCAACTCACGCGAATCACGAGAGCATCGAATTGCTGGCGTTTGGTGATCATCGCTTTTTCGAGGTTTGCACTGCGCACACATGGGACCGTTATTGTTACAGATTCCGTTTACTGGTGTTGAGGAAGGAACTTTCACTACATGCATGTTGCACTAAACTGCATATATACTATACTTTTACAGGTGTCGTGCTGCATTTGCTGCGTTGTCAGCTGGATTGCTCAAGGGGAAGAGTTATTCGCGTCTGCAGACTTGCCATTTGGTGCGGAGCTCTTCGCGCTCAGCTTGTGCTGCTTTGTGAGCTTCTTGAGCCAGTTGACGGTATTCTTCCAGAGCTTTCTGCAAGACATAAGTACGAACTGCAGCCACTATAACATCAGAAGGAAGGTTGCGGGGCAAGGGCTGCCACTGTATTTTTTACCTCTGTCGTAAAAAGCGCAGGTGGAGTGGTTCACGTACCCTCGTTCTTTCCTTCAAATCTTTTTCAAAATTTCTGCAAGCGGTTTCAGCCAATTCTCGCGCTTTTATGCGCTCGGTTTGCACTCTTTGACGCTCTTGACGCGCCGTTTCGACTGCTTCTGTTGCCAGGTTTCTGTATTTCCGAACGATAAAGTCGACCTGCTGAACCAACGTCTGCTTGAGGTCGCGTTTCTCCTTCTGAATTCCGTTGCGGATCAGCTTAAGCTGCCTCTCGTACTGCATGCGCATTTCTGCGTTCCTCGCACGCTCTTCCTCCAATAAGTACTGGAGCTCTTCAGCTGTTCGCGTAGCCTGCAGAAAGCACAACTCTAATTCATAAAAGAAAATCAAAATGTTTCTTTACAGTGCTCGCACTGCACTTTAAAAGGGAAATATGAAACGGATCAATGCAAGGGCTCCCGTACCTTCGTCAGTTGCTGCTGATTTGTCTCGAGCCACCTGAGATATCAGACACACGGTG